ATCGAGGAATTGATCGTCGTACCCGTTCTCACGTGAGGTCCCGGCAGAGTATTTACGTCACGTTATCGGGCCTCACAGTAGGAAGCGGCCCACAATAGTTATGAGCAATATTGTCACGGGACATAGTGTTGGAAATTTTTAACGAAAAAAAAATTTCAAAATGTAATAATAATAATCTATTTCATTTTCAAAGTAAAAATATTCGGTAGAAAAAATGCATATTGTTTATATAAACTGTTTATTAAGGTTTAAATGTTCTTGGACATTTGGATGGGAGTTAAACTTAAAAACGTGCAACATAGTACATTAATTGAGTTTCCACTGCTAATTGTCTTTCTAAAAACCTTTGTCACACTAAGGTGCTTTATTTATCGTAAGGAAGACTTGTATCCTAAATATGGAATGATTAAACCTTTAAAAACGAGATTTGTATAAAAATCTGCAAGCAAGTTTCATTGTGTAATACACAGTATTGACGGCCTCTTTCAATTGCACTATTACGATTTTTTTAATAAATATATATTTATTTGAAAATGAATATTTAAATAGATATTCTATTCTTTCATTCCGTGTAGAAAAGTTCTAGAGTCTCGATGCCGATTATATATTAATTGTTTTAATAACATAAAACTTTGTTTCCAGTTGTAACATTTGTGTAATACGTATACAAACCTTTCATCTTACGGATATTAAATACCCTTAAATGGTAGTTTTTCTTTGTTGTTTTTCAATATAGAAATGTGAATTAATTCATTATATTACATAATACATAAAACGCTAATTCGATGTAGTTATATCTGGTGTATTAAGATTAAATTCTTTGATTTCTAGAGAAATTAAAGAGATAAACAGTTCCATGTTTATTGTCTACTTCAATATCATAATTCTTATTGGTTTAAATCTTTACACAAAGTAACATAAATATGGAATTTTTTTGATTGTATTATATAAATAGACTGATATTTCTTAAATTACTTATGTACTTATATACGAGATTTCATGTACTATTTAAAATCATTCTGAATATGCATAGGAAAAAATGTATGAGTACATACTAAGGAGTACATTATCTATTAGTGTGCCAAGTTTTTTGTGCACCAGAAAATGTTCCAATTCGTTTAAATATTTAAAAACAAAGTTTAATCTCCATATCGATATGAGTTTCCTTTTAGGTAATATCGAGATTTTCAAAGGAAAAAAGGAAGCAGCGTAGTTCACAAATCATAAAATTCAATTTTTATCCGATAAATGATATATTTCCTTGAAGTTCCCTTATGCATCCGATGAATTGAAAAAATAAATCTTATGCATGCAATAGATCGAAGTGTGTCAATCTAATTTTTTAACTCTTAGTATTAAAAAAGAATTGATATTAAAAAAAAAATTCCTTTACTTGAAGTTGGTAGTTGGTAACTGGTTTTTTTGTAGTGCAGCGACATTTTTTTCGGATTGTCCATATAAAGCATTTACATATATAACCAGTTACATATTCTAGATGTCGTTTCTTCAAACTAGATGGTGTTATCGTAAATAAATATTAGTCATTTAATAAAATTGATCTAAATTTTTCCACGTATGCATATCGTTATACGTATTAGTATTAGCTTCAAATTGTTAATATTACCTTAATTCATTTCTTTATGTTATAAACGGACATCTTATCCATGTATGTATGTGCGTAATACAAATTACTTTAACACTTTCTTTTTCAAAAAAAAAGATATATATACGCCGTTTCTTTTTTCTTTTTCTTTCTTAATCAAGCTGACGAATATAACAAATATACTAATCATGCCTAGGCAGACTAAATCCAAAAACATTCGTGATGTACATAATAAACTCAATATACACGAAACCCAAGTTAATTTACCTGACATTGAATTAAGGTCACCATTCCTACCTGTCATCACAGTCGAAGAGCTTTGTAAACTCAAAAGATTTTCTCCACATGACAACAAGCCAGGTCAATCTCCCAATTCGTTTATTATTTATAAAATGGAACTCCATCGTGAAATTAAAAAAACAAATGTTCGCCTTGGTGATTTTTCCAAGATAGCAAGTAAACTGTGGGAAAATGAACCAGAATGTGTAAAAATTGCCTATAGGAAGTTGGCTGAAGCCGTAAAATCCGAACACAAAAAGAAATTTCCGTTTGTTTTCTTGCAAGATAAGATTAAAGAACATTATGTGACTGTTGATTCTGATCAACCGATTAATGTTAACCAAGCAACTAATATCCTTAATAAGATTGAAGTTGATAATATGGATTATACTCTAAATGTGGCTGAATTTGAGTTGGCTAAATGTGATCTGGCTAAATGTGATCTTGTGGATAATGTTAATCAGGTGGCTGGTGCTGTTAAAGTTGATCACTTTGGTTATGATTTCAATGTGGCTGAAGCTAAGTTGGCCAAACTTAATCTCGTGGATGATACAATTCAGGCGGCTGGTGCTATTAAAGTTGATCATCAAGTTGATCATTTGGATTATAATTATTATAATTTCACTATGACTGAAGTTGAGTCGGCTAATCTTAATCTTGTAAACAATACAACTCAAATGGCTGGTGCTGTTATGGTTGATCGTTTTGGTTATGATTTTAATATGGCTGAGATTGAGTCAGCTAAAGTTAAACTTGTAGATAGTACAATTCAAATGGGTAAAGATACTAAGATGATTGATATCCATTCGGCTGTCGCTTGCCAAGTCGGGGAGAAGCATGAACCTCGCATTATCGAAGAATTTTATATTCCTATGTCTGATAACATATCTTCGACCAATCCTTTTGTGCACTTCTCAGATAGTGATTTACGTACTCCATCATTTGATTATCAATTCTATGATCATAATTGCTGCATTAATAAACTTTTTTTCTTGGGTAATCCTTCTTATTCTCCTGAGAGTAGCCTTTGTTGCTATCCCTTACCTCATAAAAACTCTTTTAATCCCTGAACATTAAATGCAATCAACCTTTATAAATGCGCCCTTCTTGAGGACATAGGTAACATTTTCAAATTTATGCCATTTAAATATTATATACATAATTTGTACATTTATAAAGGTGATTTATGGAAGTTGACAATAATTCTGTAGGTTTCACATTTATATTTTATTTTTTCATTTTGTTTATGCATATCATAAATGTGTACAAGGCTGCAGATCTCCTAAACTACAAATCAGATTTCAAGATTAAGTGTAACGTAATACGATTCAAAAAAAACGTTCGTCTCACCTTTTGTGCTCTAACAAAAAGTTTTTGTTGAACAATTTTACTATATAAACTATCTCCCTCTAGATCATAACTTTGACCATAGCCCTAACCTTAACGAATTTTAATAACTTAGTCTTCGCAGCCAACCTTGCACACATTTACGATATGCTTCGTTTATTTCTATTTAAATTATACAATTATTTATTTATATACGTATATTATTTTCTTATAATTTTATCTTATTATATTATTTTATTATTTCCTTATATTTTATCTTATTATTTTATTATTTACTTTATTATTATACGTATTGTATTTATGTTAAATTTTAACTACCATTCATTTTAAAAAAAAATAACTATTTATATATTTTTTAAAAAAAGAAAAAAAGCATATAATCACTTCAAACAAAATAAAAAAAAATTATATTTTATTAAAAATATTAAATATTTTAATACTACTGTTAATCTAAAGATTTTATTTTAAAGCCAAATTGAGATTAAAAGTTGTATTGCAGGTTGAATAGTTGTATTGGACGGAATTATGCTTTACTTTTAAGGATTTAATCGATGTCTGGTTCCCATTCTCGAAGCGAAGCCATTCTGAGCATATCCGGCGGAAACAACCAATAAAATTCGAGACATGATGAGTCCCATAATGATCTTCAGTCAGTGTAACAATAATTCTATGTTATACAGGAAATTATGCTTCGGCGTTCAACGGATTCTGGTATCTTAGTTATATTAAATTTTAGGCTACTCCTGTAGAACTTTAATCAATAATCTTCTCACAAGGATTGGGATCGTTTAATCGCTTAAAAATCGTTCCATAATTCCGAGCTGAATTATGTTGGTCATGGGCTAGAGCCATTTTAATGCTGGCTGAATTAAATGGTTAATTAGTGTTCCACAAGAAAGATCTGAATGGAACTTATATTTCTAATGGACCTGAAAGTAGAATTTATAAAGGTAGCTGAATTAAAACTACATGCATAATTAATATTAAAATTATACTATCGGCAACGGGCTCCACAAACACCTGTAGCTGATACTTTAATAGCAGTCTTTCAAATTCGTTGCACCGGATTTAATTGATAGTTTTGAAAGACCTAGCGACAGTATTTTGTAAGAAACAATTGAAACCTGTTACCACTGCTGTGTTTTTCATGCATGTAGCCTCAGTCCGGCACACTTTGTGTAATGTTAATACCATTAAAATATTACGGTTATCATAGTTAAACAATTAGAAAATCTTAGGCGTCTCAATCCCTATCAACTCGTTGAAGTTTATGTTCGTGTAATTACTTGCCGGCAATCTGAGTTTAACATATCCATATTGTTCTAACTTTAAACAGGGATGTGAATATACATAGTCTAATCAAAAATCTTAATGTCTAATTGTCTAATCATCTATTATGTCTAGTGACTGTTTGTCTAATGACTGTCTAATAGTCTATTTAGTACTTATATTAGCTATATTAGTTATATTAACTAGATTATGATATCTAAAATTAATCAATCAGATTGCTTTAGACTATATATTTATTTGTCTATTATCTAATGGCTTGATTAGACTATTAGACTGTCTATTTACAACTCTGTTATAAATCATTGTAATTTGTTTTTTTTCTATTATGTATTCTTTATTTTAGGGATGTGATCCTGCTTAAATTGGTTAGTTCATGCTCCGAAACCCGCTCGAACACTGTTCCGAAACACATACATAAACTGGATTTCACATTCAGTTTTAAAACTGGTTATACACATGATTATGAATTATGGTTGTTAATTTAAAACCCGTTATTTATAAGAATGCAAATTTATATTTATATACTGTACATAATAACGATATATTTGTTACATGTAATATATGTTCACATAATGTATTTATAGCGATAGTATTTTTTATTTACTATTGACTCCATATTATCAATAATACCCGACTCATACCAAGTTTTTAAACAAAGACTTGCGCAAATGTTTTCTTCAGATAGCTGATTACGTAGTGGGGTAATTGTATCCTTCGCTTTTGAGAACATCTGTTTGCTAGATACACTTGTGGCCTGGACAATTAAGTAGTCTCGTGCCATCTGTGCTAGTCCAACATAATGTGCATCACCTGATCGGTTTTTCCAGAAATCAAGAGGGTTGCAATTAATGTTGTTAGACGAAACCTAAGGGTTTCGTCATTGACGAAAGGCGAAACCTAGTTTTATCTTTCGTCAAAAAAAAATTGAAATGATGAAATGACGAAACTGACGAAAGGTGACGAAACTGACGAAAGGTGACGAAACTGACGAAAGGTGACGAAACTGATAAAAGGTGATGAAACTGATGAAAGGTAATGAAACTGATGAAAGGTGACGAAACACCGATCATTTCCGATTGTGGGGGTCATCTAAAGCCAGGTGCGTTCACGTGACTAATAGCCAATCAAATCGTAACATGTGATCTTCCAGGATCAGCCCGACGAGACAAAAACAAAGAAAAAAAGTGAAAAACGTCGAGAAGATGATTTTACTTAATCAAATAATCAAAAACATCTGGCTTTGACCATCCCCCGATTGTGGGAGTGATTATTCATGTGTTTGTTTTGCGGGTTTACCCACCTTTCCTTTTTGACTAAAGCTGTAAAGATTTTTGTGAAAAAATGTTTGCTAAATATATACATATTTTTCATAGTTATTACTTTATACTTTATTGATTTGCATTAGTTGGGTTTTATGTATGTGTTGCTTTTTATTTTTGTATGCTGACATTGAGGCATTAACTGCTCGATAGTTTAATTTATTATTCGATTGTGAGTTTGACTTTTAATTGAGTTAAATGATTG